TCATAGATTGAGTACTGTCGTTAGAAGCCTCCTTTTATCCCTTATCCTGGATTTAAAAATTCTAATTTTATTTAACCGTCCTCTGGTTAAGTGAACAGGACAAACAAAATCTAGGCAACATTTTTACTTTTTACTGGTTTGTCCAGAAGCAGAAAAACAGGTGTAACAGCGTAACTGACCACTAGAGGGCGATAACTTCAGCCCATTAGCTGTGATTAGCTGCCTTAGGCTCCTAAAGTTGTTAAGTCAGTCACATCCCTCCACTTGTTTATGTTCATGCTTACTTTTGTTTAAGAAATGTTTAAGAATTTCTGTTTTACTGCAGAGATATTGAGCCATGATGGAGGATATGTTAAATAGGAGCTGAACTTTGGGCGTTTTTAATAAATTCCTTTTTGAATTATGCTCTGCATGAATGAATACACGTCCAGAACGGGAGAACGTTGCTACCTGGGGTAGGATGGATATTCTGAAGGACTGGTTGCGGTTTTCGCTCATCAGATAGAGGGAGATCACTGGAAAGATGTGCCAGGGCGTAGTGCCGGCTGGCCAGCATACCAGCTGCTCCCCGAGCCAGAACCCAGAGGGAAACTGCTCTGTCTGCAGAAAAAAAAGCATCATAGAGACGTTTGTTGGTTAGGAAACATGAAGGAGCCGAGCTACTTTAGGTAGCCAAACTATAAGAAAATAAAGACTGTAAACATAGACGAAGGACTAACCGAGGAGGCGGCTTTGATAGCCTTCACCGCAGCCTGGAAGACTTTCCTTGGAAGTCGAAGGTTGGTGGTTCCACTGTCAACGATGCTCTTGTCATAGTTGTACTACAGAGCCCACATGGTGCATGTTTGTTACCTAGATTTCCATATAAGTAACTATATTTCTAAGTCTTTATTCCTGTATAAAAAATTACCTCTTTACAGTCCATGTTGAGGTCCTGCCCGTTCACCTCAATCCGAACGATAATGACCTCGTAGTACCACTCCCGGCGGATGGGAGTGTACCAAAGCTCTCCAACATACAGTGAGGAGTCCACCCCACCGATGATCTAAAAGCACGGGGGAAAAAACAACAAACTCAATTATCCAGTGGTTCAGGGAAACAGAGCATTACATGGTTGTCTGTGGGAGTCACCATGCTGCCGCCAACGGTGGAGCTTCCCAGGGACTGGTTCTGGGTGAAGCCCGCGCCGCACAGTTGGAGAGAGAAGAGGTCGGGAACAGAAGTCTGGCGAACCAACGAGTCAAAGAAAGGCTCCAGCGTCTCATCCGGCTGGAAGACATGGAGAGAGTTTCTGTTGTTGCAAATTGAATGACTTAAGCAGCATGAACTGTTTTTATTCTTCAGGTTTCAAGGCAGCTTCCTCTTGGAATAAAAATAAATGAGATTTGTTTAATTTTCATTTAAGACCTTGTTGATAATTGCATATAATCATTCCGTTTGTTTTTTAAACTTTTACGGAATGACTATGACCTGGATGACTGAGAATCTTCATCAGCATATTGCATATAATTGTACACTGAATGCAGCCGATTGAACTCATGACATTGTCCTTCAGGCATCATGTTTTACAACTAAGAATGTTGAAAACATCTGTTTTCTATTTTAGCATCTGAGATTCTCATCCTGAAATGCAAACATATCTGTTCATAATAACAGAGACTTCTCGTTTCAGCTCTACTCTGGGTTGATCTTGTTGAAATAATGTGTTTGTTTGGGAAAACAAACACTTTGGCACTTTACAAAACTGCTACAGTGGGGTTGAACGTTTTTTTCCAAGATATTTAGTTTGCGACGTTATTCACCAGTCAGCACAGAGCTAACCTCCTTGCAGTATTTACAACCTGACCTTTTTTAAAGTGCAGCCTGCTTAGTTAAGCTCTTTGTCTTTACAGATACTCCATTACTTTACTTAAGTAGAAATTTTGGCTTTCTAAACTTTGATGGAGTAATTATCTTTTAGACAACTGTTTACTTCTACTCCTTATATTTTTTTGGAATTATCTTTTTTAACTCATATTTAAAAAAATAGACATGTTGCTTTTATTACTGCTAAGCTTATGGCCTGTTGGTATTAGAAAATAAATTAAAAAAATCTAAATATTTGTTTCATCCAGACAGTTAATTTCCTTGTGGTTGGACTCAGTGATGTACCACCTTCTTGTTTTCCATATAACAAAAATAAACAGTTTTCAAGATTATGCAAAGGTATATTTAACACTGTTACCATTAGTTAGAAAACTATTATATCAAATTTATTTTCCAGAATTGTAGAAAAAATATCAGTAACCAGTATGAGGTATAAAGCATCTGTCCTTAACATCTTTTCCTGCATTACTTTTTTTCCCCCCAAAACAGTTTTTCTCACTTTTAACATATCCAGGTGCAGCCCTCAAAAAACTAAATGGGACTGACATTCATATTGAAAATATAATTATATTCTAAATATATTGTAAGATTTTTTTTTAGCCAGAAAGTACATCCCAAAAGTATTTTTGTGTGGTGAGTTTTATCAAGAAATATCCTAGTTTTAAATCTATGTAGAAGTGGTTAGAGCCCCAGGTTACGGCCATTGTGGGCTGCCTACTGAGAAAGGATATGGAGTCAGTCATCCCTCGTTAATTGGGTCATTTAAAGATGTTTTAACCTGTAAAGTACACTGAAAAATATCTATGTAGTCTGTTGATCAAGATTATGATTTTAAATTTGTCTTTAGTCCCTCTGATCGACCAGTCTGGCTGCTAGGCTAGCTAAGCTAACCTGCAAACCCACTTGGCAGCTGCTATTAGTTATCGTAACTTCTGATAAGTTTTTAAGTTGCTGTTATGTTCAAAGGGTAGAAGAAGCACAATAAGTGCAAAGTGTGGTGAGAAATTGACTTTATTAATTTCATGTTTGTCTGTGTCTAATTATGGACAGACATGAGCTGAACACACACTGGAAAAACGATCTAGAACTAAGTAAAATCATTTTTGGATTATTACCAAAATACATTACTGGAAGTAGAGGTGAGTATTGGCATGAGTGTTGCGATTCGATACATGTCGCAATACTTGGGTCACGATACGATATTATCACGATATT